CCCCCCACCCCTTTTCCCAACCATTGTAACGCTTCCGTAGGGTCTCCAAAAGTGAGGGGAAAAACTTCATGACATACTCGTCACTATTTCAAGTAAAGCATTACATTAGTTCCGAGTTTCTTTTACGAAAAAGGAGGTCAGCGGTGTCTTTTCTTTAAGGTGAGTGGGGTGGTATGTCATATTTTGTTTTATGAACTAGAGCATATTGAAAGTGGATATCGTTGCTTGGTCTAGACTCTGGACTGTGGCACCAGCGCTTTTGTTTGCCTTTCCTTTGTTTATAGGACGAGGACGAGGATCTTTTTGGGGTGGAGGGGGGAGGGGGGAGATTAGGTGGATAATAAACCAAAGTGCAAAGTTTCCGCCTGGCAACTCCACGAAGAAGCGTTCCTCGGGTATATATTATGTTCTTCTTTTTTTCCCGTTTATTTCCAGCAAGGCCGGGCCTTGAATTCAGTCTTGCGAAACACCAAGACCGCGATATTTCGAGACCAGACAAGTCGCAGAAGCAGCTGTAATCAACTGTCAGCAGCGGGCCGTTGAAGGGCGCCACTTGTTGTAGGCCCTATTTCTTTTAGATAAAGTTGTTTCTGTACACCGGTCCTACTTTTACGGTACCGGTACACTAAATGACCGATAACTGTATTGTGTCGATGTACTTTTCTGTACCCAAACACTAACTGTTCGCTTAGACAATAATATTGAGCTGACGTGGATCAAACGATATTCCTAAAATGGATAATAAATGCAGATTATCACCTTTCCCTGAACGGGAAGAATAATATACCCATTATCTCCAGGGTTCTCGTAGATGTTTAATCAGAAGCGCTTAGCTATTACCACTGATGTTGTAGTGCATCAATATTTTGCTAAAGTAAAAGTACACAGCGCATGTCTTATCTTCCTTTGAGAATGTGGGTCAGTCAAGGCAAACATCCCTCAATGCCCATTGAAGGCATTATAGATAGATAGATAGATAGATAGATAGATAGATAGATAGATAGATAGATAGATA